ATATATTATGTTTGAATATTTAATGACTATTAATTTAATGATTTTATGGTGTTTTAATGTTAATTTGTGTATTATAATTTTAATAATTTAATAATTTTGCTTTCACTATCGCATTGGGGTACACCTGTAATGATAGTTATAAGTTACGAAATAAATAAATAAATAAATAAATAAAACAATGCTAAAGGAAAATCAGGTATTCCTACCTCTGTTTCATATAAAGATCAGCCTGACGAGATATGCAGTTTTTTTTTCTACTTTTTTTCGATCTGTCTTTGAGACCTCCACTGTCTCAGATAGTTTTGATGTTGAAGACATCCCTGATTGCAATCGCGATCACGATCTGGTATTTGGTGGTTTACAGTTTTTGGAGGACGATATAGTGTGGGAACTGAAGATATTAAATATAACGAAGGGTCCAGGGGTTGACAATATGCCACCTATATTTTTTAAGTCGACTGCCTCCACTATTGGTAGACCATCAGTGTTGATCTTTAATATGAGCTTAAAAAAGGGTGTTGTACCCGTATTATTTAAAACGGCTCGTATTATTCCCGTTTTTAAAGGTGGAGATAAGTCAGACGTCGAATGTTATCGACCAATATCTATACTCTCAGTAATAGCAAAACTTTTTGAAAGGTTAATTCATAATGCTATCTATCCATCTATACATGGTATCTTAATAGAGAATCAACATGGATTTGTGAAAAACCGATCAACTTTAACTAATCTATTGGTTTATGTATCACATTTATTTGATAGTCTGGATCATGCCAAGCAGGTTGATGGTATTTACACTGATTTTCATAAAGCTTTTGACAGGGTTGATCACAGGATACTGTTAGAGAAGCTTGCTTATAACGGAATCAGAGGTGATTTGTGGCGTTGGTTTAAATCTTATGTCACAAATCGCACTCAGAAGGTTGTGTTGAATGGATATGAGTCAGACCTTATCCCAATAACATCAAAATTGAGCATTGTGGCACAGGCTCAATTTTGGGTCCTCTTTTGTTCGTGATATTTATCAACGATGTTGGTAATTGTTTCAGTTTTTGTGATTTTCTCTTATATGCCGATGACTTGAAGATTTTTCATACTATCGATTGTGCGGATGATCATCTTAAAGTACAGGAGGATCTCAATCGTTTTTCTGAATATTGTAACAAGAATAGGTAGGTTCTTAGTATAAATAAGTGCATTACTATAACTTTTACGAAAAAGTTGCAAAAAAGTGTTTTTGACTATCAATTGTGTGGTATCAGGCTTCACCGTGTAAAATCTATAAAAGACTTAGGAGTGACATTAGATAATAAATTACATCTTGATGAGCACATACACAGTATCACGAATAAGGCTTATAAAATTTACGGGATTGTTATGCGATCTAGTACTAATTTTAATCGTCACTCTACTAACCTTCACTTATACAAAACCCTTGTTCGCCCTCAAATAAAATATGCTGTGCCCGTATGGAACCCATTTTATAATAAATATATCAATACTTTAGAGAATGTTCAGAGGAAATTCTTGCGTTGTATGCATTATAAGTGTTTTGGTGGTAGGTTTTATTATTTTTATTTATTTAATTCTTCATGCACAAAAAAAGTACATTGGCGGACTTAATGCCTTAGGAATTCTCTCCCAGTCAACCTTAGCGTGCTGTGGGGAAACCGATGGTGGCAAGGTGCACAACGGAACAAAGATTTCTTTCCAAACAAATAGTTACATAAAAACTTATAATACATAAAATCTATAACAAATACATATATATCAATATGCGTACATAATCTATATATACTATATACATACATATAATAAATATACGATAAAAGTATCAAATCGACGAATCCAGTTCTTTCGAAAAATAGCCACGTAACCTTTTCTTAAAAATTAATTTACTGGTGGACATTCGGATTTCTAAGGGGAGCTCATTCCATAGAAGGATAGCCTTAACAAAGAACGAAGAGTGAATGATATCGGATCTGTGAGATGGACAGTTGAGTAAACGATTGGATTGGGAACGAAGAGTTTTAGTATGGGAATTGCATAGATATTGGAAGTGAGATGTGAGATAAGTAAGAGCGTTAGGAGAGTCCAATAACGAAAACAAGGTGGTCAGAGCTCGCATATTCCTTCGCTGTCGTATTGGCATCCAGTTTAGACAGAATTCGCTTTGCAGAGACATGATCATATTTCCTAAGGTTGAAAATGAATCGAATGCAGTTGTTTTGAAGACGGTCAAGCTTGTTGAGGAGATCTGCATTCAGGTCGAGATAGCACACATCACCATAGTCAATGATAGGAAAAATTAAGGACTGCACAAGCATTGCCTTAATATTAGGTGGTAAAAAATTTTTTAGGCGGTAAAGGGCTCTTAAAATCCCCGTTACTTTTTGGCACACAGTACTGGTTTGAGCCTGCCAATTAAAATTAGAGTCGATATATAGCCCTAAATCTTTTACACTGCTGCTGAATGGTATTGAAGTGCCGTCATACATAATACATCTGTGATTATTAACGTTAATTGTCGCCATGATTCGTGACCCACCCAGCAGTATGGCTTGACATTTAGTGGGATTAACTGCAACGCCAAAATTAGATGACCATGTTTTGATCGCAACTAAATCACTATTTAACTGATCAATGGCGTTATCCAATTCATCAATATTTGATTCAGTATATCATTGTAAGTCGTCAGCATACAGATGATACGAACACTGAAGCTGGTGAGTGATAAAATCAATAAAAATGGAAAAGAGAAGAGGAGAAAGAATGCCGCCTTGGGGAACGCCAGTTTCTAGACTGCCCCAGGATGACGACAATGTGTCAGTCTGCACCAACTGCTGACGTTCCCGAAGATAAGAAGAAAACCAAGTAGACACTTCGTCCGACACCATAAGATAAGATAGTATAGAAAGAAGGATATCATGACTGACAGTATTGAAGGCGTTGGAGAAATCTATCAGAACTAAACAAGTTATTTTACCTTTCTCCATTCCTGCCCTAATATCGCCAGTCACTTTTAGGAGTGCCGAAACAGTGCTATGTCCTTTTCTGAATCCAGATTGCAGTGGATTCAACAAGGTATTCTTGTAAACGAATTGGGAAAATTGTTTATGGACACAGGCCTCAAGCACTTTCGACATAAAAGGGAGAATAGAAATCGGACGAAATTGATTTAATTCAACTGGATTGGGAATTTTAGGAAGAGGGCGGACATAAGCTTTACGCCAGAGGGTAGGAAAAACGCCGGAATTAAGGGAGGAATTAACAATGTGCGTTATTGCAGGGAGTACATGGTCAAGTATAATAATAATCATGCGACGACTAATGTTATCACACCCCACTGCATTGGATTTAATGGATCAACAGCTCCTACTCAAATACAATTGTATAAGTTTGGAACATAGACGTTTATTTCTGGAAGCTGTGTTACTATATGACATATTCCAAAACCGCTATGACTGTATACCATTGACTAATAAATTAAGATATAAAATTCCAACAAGAACTCACTGCCGTAGCATCTGTAAATTGTTTGCTGTTGCTCGATGTCGTACCAATGCAGGAAATAGATCACCGTTTAATCGAATGCTTAATACTTACAACAATAAATTTAATGCAATTGACTTAGCGACGGCAAACAGAAATAAGTTTAGGAAATATATATTAGAAGCGCTTTAGTAGTATATACTTATTTTTTTAGTAGCAATGTAGTAAATTATATTTTAATCAGCCCAACTGTAATTGTTTATTATAGTTATTAAAGTAATTAGTGGTAAACGGTGCTGGTGGCACAACTACATAGTATGTCATCATGTTTTGTATTGTATACACTTATATTGTTGTGTCATTGTTTGTTTACCCGAATATCAATAAAAAAAAAATAAAAAAATGTCTCATCCCACAAAATACAAAATCGAGGTTGTGTGCGGTCAATATGGAAATTAAAATCAAGCCTCTAAATAATTCAAATAAAAAATGACGTGATTATATTTTCCATATACTATTTTTATTTAGCCATATACAAAATAATAATTGTAAGAATGATTGCATTTAAACAAGTAGATGAAAATTAAGTTTAAAGATAATTCAATACGGTATTCAAACATAAGTTCACTTTGTATATCATAAAATATAACATAATAATTGGAATTGAAATTGCGTAATAAAATATGAAAAAAATATGAATAAAAATTAAGTTAGTAAAAAAAACAACTAAACGTTTAAACATTATTCTACATTGTATGTGATAAACCACAGGGCAATAGTCGTATTTAATACTGTTATTATTTATAATAAAAAATATGTTTGTAAATAAACCAAACAAACATATCATATATTTAACCATACCTGTGCACTATAAAATATAAAATAATAATTGTAATTGTTTAACAAAATTTGAATAATACATAAGTCTGAAGATAAATTGATTTAGATATAATTTTATATTCTGCATCGTAAAATATAATATAAAAATTGGAATAAATATTGTATTTAAATAAAATGTGAATTAAAAATAGGATTGTAAATAAATTGATTAAAAATTTACATTTGATTTCATATTTCATACTATGAAATATACTATCATAAAAGTTATTGAGACGGTTAATAAATATTATGCGAATCATAATTAAGTTTGCAAATGAATAATTATTGATTAAAAAATATCTGTATGTATTCGTGGCTAGTTGAGTCAGTCTCACGGTTGGCTTGTATCGACCATTATACAAGCCAACCGTGAGACGCATTTTTCCTTTAAAACATCTAATACTGCATTAATATGACAAGAGAATATACGTTACAAAAAAATAATTCTATCAAACCAAACATAATTAAAAAAATTTGAAAAGATCCTTTTCACAGCGAATCAACTCCACTTTCCCTCCATCCATTTTTCGAGCCAGTATTTTGCCGTCCCTAGACCAGATATGTTTCCATTTATACTCCTTTCCAGTCTGGCGCGCTAAAAAGTACAACCGACGATTAAAGGAACTGAGTCATTCATTGACATAGACATTACCCGACTTCCCGGGCACATCGATATCTTTCGTAGTTAGGTTCCGTCGTATGCAGGTCGCTCGCAGCCACTGATCTCGTGTCAATCTGCGCACGAACCGCACGACAATAGTGCGAGGTCGCAGTGTATTAAGGTCGTCATTAGCACTCCTCTCCACTCTATTGCGACGCACTGAACCGACTCGTTCCACGCGTACAATATCTCTCTCCTCGTATGTTATCCCCAACTTTGTAGACAGCGCTATAACTATATTTGAGAGATTTTCTCCGTTCTGTTCCGGTATTCCAGAAAGATCTATATCGTTTAGTAGAAGCTCCTGGTCCCTGTTATTGAGCTGTGCCTTCAAATGACTTATATTTTCCTCAAATGTGTTGACATTTTCAGGCATTACTTGGGCGCATTTGGTTTCTAAAGTGCTAAGTCTACTCTCTAGTTCCGACATTTTGACATCAAATGCGCTCAGAGCAGTCTTAAATTCTGATATTTCAATTCTACACTCATGAATCTCATTTCTAACATCCTTAAGCTCAGCTTTAAGCTCGTTACGGAACGAACGGAGTTCTAGCGCTAAGTCAACCTTACATTCTTCTGTTATATTGTGCGCCGTGTCGTCCATATGGACTGGACTCTGCGGACCTGAATAAGCTGCGAACACTTTTATAGGGGTCGAGGAATTATCTTGTCTGAGAACCCTTACTTTACAATCAGGACAGACAACCGGACCCTTCACAGCCGTTGCTTCAGCAATACCAACACATGCTTAATGAAAAGTTACGCTACACTTTTTACAGCGGATACACTCTGTCGCTGCGAGGAACTCTCCACAGCCTCCGTATTGAACCATTTTTGTGTGGATGTTAATGATCAATAAAACTGTAATATAAAAGTTGATGGCACAGGTGGCAATAACACCGCTAAAAGCTATAGTAGCAATCGTGCGCTTATATCCGCTATTACAATTCTAGGATAGATGGCGCAAGTGGCAACAGCACAGCAAAAAGCAACAGCGTATGAGTATACTGATCAAGAACTTAACTCGAAAGTCCTATAAATGTCATTAGATGGCGTTTCATACATTAAATGATAAATGTTACTGAGGATAATTTTGCAATCGAATCCTTGCCCTTCTCATGTGCACTGCTAAAGGTCACTTTTCATTCCAATGTTCACTTAATAGCACCATCAATTCAGAGTTCTTTAAAAAAAAAAAGAATCGTTTAATATTGCTTTACACAGAGTAGTTTCACACAAGGTTCACAGATTGTTAATTAAACTGGCCGTTTTCACTTTTATTAGTATCTTAAAGGACTCGATAACGATACACAGCACTCATGAGAACTATTTTACTTTCTGAGTATATTAAATTTAGGAATACAAACTTTCAAATAATTTTATTCCTTCAAAAACCCTCTAAGATAAGAAAGCTATTCGACATCCAAGTGTCAAAAAAAAAACAATGCTACAAGGACATTTTATCGACAAAAGATTAAGACTTTAATGGGAATTGTTCAGTTTGTATGGGCACTTTGGCTTTGAGTGGACATTATCTACAGTTATAAAAAACTTATTTTTTTAATATTTCATATCTTAAGTGAGTTAACTATTGTAATATTTTCACGGGAAAATTTAACATTGTATATATACATATAAGCATGTGTAGTATTCCATAAACGATGTCAAAAGAGTTTTTTTTTAAATACTTTAATTACCTTATCATCATATTAATTTATCTATGTTAGAAATAAGAAACAGATGGTTAAATAAAGATATTGTAGATTTACTCATATTTACCTTTAATTTTACAATACTATTCTATAAGTAAAAGTCAGTACTTCTAAATACATTTATTTGTAATAATAGACTTTACATAAAACTTAATAAATAAATTACACTGCTCCTAAGTTTCTCTTCAGTTGGAGGCTGGCATTTGTGCGGTCAAAAAAGCAGCTACATTTATATAAGTTGGTCCCATGACGTCGTAATATTTGAATCTTCCACGACCGCTCTTGACTTGTGCTCAACCTCGAACACAACTCTTCGGCTTGTAGCGGCTGTAGACTCACATTTATTTATGTCTGCGCCTAATAGAAAGGACTATTTTAAAACACCTATCCAGTACATTTGTACATTACTACTAAATAATAAATTAAAATTAAATATTGAACTACAGGTACAGTATTCCCACGCCTTTGCCTGTGTAATTAGTAGCCTATATCATCCTCATGAAAGATGTAGCTTCCCGTAAGTAAAATCTTTTTTAAAACAGATTTGATTTTAACTAAATTAACTCCTGTTGAGACAGACCTATCCAAAAGCCTACAATGACTTCAGGTATTCCTTCAATGTAGTTAAAATCCATTGTAGATTTCTTTCTTTAACAAATGATACATAATCTTGAATATGTTCTGTAGTTAATGAGTAAATAGGTTGCATGATAGACAACTATTCAGCCCAATTATTATAATATAAATGAGAACTAAACAACTTACTGGTTTTTGGAACATAAAAGTTAAAATCAACAAACAATTTTGATTAAAACTGTCAGTCGCTGTGGTAAGTTGCAACCCGGAACAAAATAATATGCTTGTGAATCAGGTGCTCTTTTTAATCCGATAAGGTAATGGTCTGTATAGGTTCTGGAATATTAGAAGGAACTGTTACTCTATCTGCTCGCCGCCAATATGGATGAGAGATGTGATCAGATCCATGCATCTAAAAGAGTATAATATATTATTAAATTATTTGTCAACAAAATGATACTTAACGATATACTATACGATATATATAGGCAGCGACATATTAATGTTTTACTTGTCATAAAGGAAGCTTAATTATAGTAAAGTAATCATTATAAATAAAAATAACTATAATCCTACCTGTCGTGGGGATATCCAATCAATAATTACATTTCGGATATGTGTTTCTCTATCGGATATTATTTGCAGTAGATGTGATTTAGTACGTAATATAGATCTTCCGCAATTTATACAAAGCTGCCGATGATGTCCACTACTTGTGCTTGGTTCGGTATCCAGAGATATAGCCGGGTCATCGTTTTGAGAGGTATCGGAGTCCATTCGATTGTTTGTCTAAATTAACATATATCTAACCGAAAAGGATTATTTGTTATGTTTTTAATATATTTGATACATGATTTTGCTAACGATTACCTACTGTATATGTATTAATACAGGAATAATTTAAAACCACTGCGAAAATTTTGTGAAAATAAACTTTAAGTTATTTAAACAAACACGTATTTTTTATTTTGATATGATCTAATACAAAAAAATAAAGTTATCGCTTATCAAAGATCGAGATTTTAAAATTTAATTTATGGACACCGCGCGCCGTGCGTCAGCTGAGCGCTCGCTCGACGCCGTAGGTATGTACTCGTAGGTACCTATCTACACGGGTCACTGAACGCTCAATTTGTTAGATTCTTAAAGATTAGAACGCGAGGGCACGTCACATCGGCGCGTGCGTATGAGTCTCACTGCCGCCACTGTCGCGCGCGTCGCCCGGTCCCGAGCGGCGGGGACTGTGGCGGGGGGGAAGACTTTTTCATTGAAATTTTATTATAAAAAATGCGTCCATATTCAACCGTTTCAATAGGGATAAAATATTAAAAAAATGTTTTAAACTAATTATGGAAAAGTGTTTTATTACTGATACTGAATCACCAAAAAAAATTTTCGCACTGGAAAAAAAATTATCCTGTATATACTTTAATTACTCTCATTTTTATTACAGTTAAATCTTATCACTCAATTGATACTATTAGTAATAGTATTTCAATATCATTTATTGATATGGAAACACAGTGAAACATGTTAACAAAACACATCCGAATTTTAAAAATAGTTTTATATGTGATATTTTTAGTGTTTAGCTTCTCATGACGAGAGTATTAAGAATATTTTTTTTTCAGTTTTACTGTTTACATTGTTTTTACTAATAAGCTTGTCCACCAAAAGCCAAAATTGAACAATTCCCTTTCTTATGTCAATGGAATTTCTACAAAATTATTACGTTATCACAATACCTATCTAGGTTTAAGAAACAACAAAACATCTCCCAAGAAATTCATTGACTAAGTCAATAATTTTAAAGTTTTTGAGCCTAGTATGTCATTTCATTTCATTTAGGTACTTTACCTAACGGCCGAAAGAAACCGCCAGCGCCGGGCCGTCGGTCGGCTGTCTGAGTCGGCGCAAGTACAAAGGCGCAAGCGAACCCCACGCCGCGACCGACATTGTCGTTGCTCGCCCGCGCATTCTAGTCGTCGTTTGACCGTGGCATCGTGAACTAGATAACGGATTACCATCGGGTCCGATCAGTATCAGTTCAGTCTCATGAATATGTTATGATAGCTTGTGCTTATCTATTTTTTATGTGGTGGTATCTACGAAGATACGGTATATCTCCTTTACCCCTCTCACCGAAGGTGACACTCGTAAGTTGATTATCTCTATAAAGTCCAAGGCTATGGGATCTGACAACATTAGCAGGAATATGATAAATCTCATACTTGATGCTATTCTCCCGACACTAACCTCAATACTTAACCATTCTTTATCATCTGGTTCCTTTCCCGATGCCTGGCAAAGGGCTTACACTATCCCTCTCCCTAAAATTTTTTGTCCGGACTCCATGAATCATTATAGACCAATTTCAATTTTGGCTTTCCTCTCCAAGGTTCTCGAAGCTGCTGTACATACGAATATCGTCAACAATTTTAATAAGGGCAGTGGAGGTGCTATGACCTGTTCGGAAACCAGACTGGAAAGGATTAAGGAGGTGATTTGAGTTAAGAAAAGCGATAAGCTGACGATAGACAAGTTTTTCTAAAACTTTTGAGAGAAAAGGTAGTACGGATATAGGACGATATTCGGAGAATGATGAAGGATTAGATTTTTTTGGAAGCGGGATAACAAATGCGTCCTTCCAAGACGAAGAAAAAACTCCAGTCGAGACTGATTTGTTAAGGATCTTGGTTATAACGGGAACCAGAACGTCTATAATAGGAATGATCATTTTGCGAATGATGGAGTCACTACCTACTGCACTAGAGTCGATAGACAGTATTGTCTTCTTAACATCACAGTCCACAAATTGGTGTAGAAAAAAACAAGAATCATGAGTAGCCAAATTAGAAAGACGATGTAAAGTTTCGGCCTTACGATTGCTATCTATCAATAAGGACAGAAGTGGAAAAGTAACTGTTAAGTCGATCAACATCAAAATTATTACAAGGATCACTGTTATGCGATTTGCCAACTCCAAGTGATTTTAGAAATTTCCATACTTTGCCTGGATCTGCATTTTCGACAGACTTGTGAATATGACGTCTTTGGGCGTCCCTGATCACCGTATTGCACCGATTCTTAGCTCGATTGTATTTTGTCTTATTTGCATTTGAAGGATCGTGTCGGTACCTCACTTTAGCCTTGTCCCTCCTTTTCATTAACACTCGAATATCTTTTGTCAACCAAGGAGCAGAAAGATATTTAATTTTAATACGCCGCGTTGGAGCATGCACGTCATATAACTCTGTCAAAAGTCTATTAAACAGCTCCACTTGCTCATCAACACTGTTGATATCGTAAATCGCCA